CTGAATAAAGAGATAGCATAGACTTTTAACAGTACTACTGGACTATTAAAAGGTCTTAAAAAAAGATTATTAGGATTACTAGAATGGATCAAACAACAATATATATAAAGAAGCAAATACCAACTAGGCTGTCAGAAACTGCTAAAGAAAAAAGATCTAAAAATACCATACTAGGCCATTTGAATTGGTATTTTGTAAAGTCCTGTAGATCTTGTAAGTTCAGAAGTAGGAGGTAGAAGTTAGAAAAGAAAACTATCAAAGTTCTAGTGAACTTTATAAGGGTATAGTGATTTAATAATTAATTCTAACTACAAGTAATAGTCTAGACCAGAGCAGAGTTAGGTTAGCTATAAGTATGAGATACAGAAGGCTTCAGTAGGCTTAATATAAAGTTAAATATTACTTAGTGTCTATGGTATATTTGCAGATTATTATTGCAGTTGCTAGGATAGAGATGGATATGAAAACTAGAGTTTTAAATAGAGAACTTACAAATGGGTTTTAGATATAGCAACTAGTATAGAACCTTCAAATGAACTACTTAATATACAATAACTAAAGTTATATAAGTGGTTAGTTGTACACTCTTTTCATAATTGTCTTTATAGCTGTTGTATATAATAGTTATATGCTGACTAATTATTAATAAACTCCTGGGTTAAAATTACTTATCTTAATATTTTAAAAAAAAAAAATAATAATACAAATACTTAATTATAATTTGTTAATTTATAAATATGTCCAAAATTTTAATTTAATTTTTTAAAAATTAATTAACTTTATGTAATCAAAAATTAATTTTATTTATTTTTATAAAATAAATATATATGTTGCATACTACAATATACTTATGTATCACATATATTACAAATTATAATTTACCAACTAAAATAAACTAGTTTTTTGTTTAGTTAGAGTTGGAGTTATATAGAATTAGATGCAATAAACAGAAGATGATTTAGAGTACAAAAGATAGTTAACAAGTAACTTTTGTTAAAATAAACATTTTTTTGATCATGCAATATTATATTTGATATTGAAATTTTATTGGTCAATTATTAATATACAATGTATAAGCACATTGCAGGGTTGTAACACCTAATTAAGTTTTTTTTTTTTTTAAGTTAAATCTCTGTCTATGAGAGTTGATGTTTTTATTCATGTATTTGGACATGGGTGCCTCCAGAGGCTCCCTTACATTGGAGGTTACAACTAGCCACATTTGCACTTTTGGTGTCTAATTTAAGTAGTACACCTATACATTACTATACAAGTTCTACACTAGGTGTCATACCTGCAAGCCAACTATGGGTTTTGACTATTTAAACCCTCTGCATATGTAGTCCACCATGTCTCATAGGGACATCTTCAAGGCTACACCCATTCAAAGTACCCGATGTCTTCAAGTACCCTTAGGACTAGTTTATCCTTGACAGAAAACTTACTAGAAACTTTTGTATCCCACATACAGCTAATCTAGTTTTATGCAACATGCTATAGTTATCTAACACTTGCAGTTATAGGGGTTACCTGTTTAACTGCTATATTATACTATTACTACCCCTGTAAAGTTCACTAGAACCCCAGTACCTATCATCATGACATCTTCTTTATCATTCCTTACTAAGTACTACTCAGGACTGACAGGACTCCACCGACTTCTAATCCAGATAGCCTGGTATAGTATACTTATATATCCTTTTTTTTAGGCAATTCTGGCAGCCTAATTGGTCATATGCTCCTCTATACATTTTGATATCCAGTTTATCCACCTATCCCTTTGAGATGTTTCATGGACTTCCATCAGTCTGACTGTATTGTTGAAAGTTCATGCTACTTCTTTACTCAGGAATTTTCAAGTGGGCTTCTAACTCTTCAGTTTCTTAGTTTACTGTGCCCAGTAGTCTTATCATGGGTTTGCACTGAAGTCTTATGCAACACCAGTTATTAAAATTCCTCTATGTATATGTAATATTACACTTGGCATAGATGCCCTGAGCTCCTATTTGAGATGGTGCAACTTAAGGTTACAGATATACAAATCCAACTGATCATTAAGAAACAGTTTGCCATAACATAGGTTAATTTTCAAATTTCATCATAGGTGAAATTTGAACCTTAATTAAGTTCTTTTTTTATAAATATGTTTTATAAATTCTTAAATATTAAATATATTTATTTAGTTATAAATTAATATATAAATCTTGTGTAATTATATTTTAATTTAAATATATCAAATTAATGTATTATGCTTAATAAGACAACTAATATTAAATATTACTAAAAATATCAAAATATAGGTTTAAATAAATTTTAATTATATATTTTAATTTATTATTAATATTATTTGTATTATATATACTATTTTTATATAATTTATTAAAAAAAATTAATTTTTAAATAAATAAAAAACTAAAATAAATCAAAATTGAAAAATTTTTAATTATTTAAAAAAATTATGATTTATAAAAAAATTTAAAAATTATTTTATTTTAGTTATATAAAAAAGACTTAAATTTAATAATATATAATAATAATTTTTATTTTAAATCTTTACAAATAAAAAATTAATACAATATAAAATATTTTATATTATAAAAGTATTATAATACTAAATTTTTTTTTTAAACTAGTCTTTTGAGGACTAAAGCTTTTTCATTCAGTATTGTAGAACACAATAACTCACGGTCCAATTACCTCAGAGAAGCTACCTTATATTAGAGAGTACATCTTGCCACACATACACTTTTGGTGTCTAATTTAAGTAGTCTGCCTATATATAGGTTCTACACTAGCTGTCATACCTGCAACTCAACTATGGGTGTTGCCTATTTAAACTCTCTGTACTGCAATCTTTACTGTTATCACTAGAACATTTCTATTACATAATGTCAGTCAAGAAGTTCTAGATGCTTACTTATACCCTTAGACCCCTGCCTTATTTCATGCAGATTATTTTCAAAACATTTTTACTAGAGTTTTTTGTATCTCAAATTACAGCTAAACCTGGTTTATAATTCTTGTAAAGTTCATACAATCCCAGTACTCTTCTTTTACAACCTCATCATTACCTTGTCTATCCTTGCAAGTTCTTCTATATTACCAATCCAATTAGCTCTGCATAATGTAACTTCATGTTCAGCTCAACCATTGGCCAGGTTGGTGGACTTCCTATCTATAGATTCTTACCTATACAGGTCACCTGTCTCAGGTTTTCTTTAGTGGATCAAGATCTTTACAGATGGCACCATCAAAAGTTGTACTACTTCTCAACTCAGGATTTCCAAGCAGGATTCTAATCCAAGTATATACTTTCCAGATTTATTCATATAACATTGCATATTTCTAAAGTTAGTTTTGGTATAACCAGAATTACAGGATCTACAAACTCCAGATCACAGATAAGTTTGCTGGAATAGGTCTATTTTTCCAAAATCTGTTACTAATAGGAATTAAATATTGGACCTACTGCTTGGAGGATAACAACCTAACTACTACACTAGGATCACCATCCTCTATTATAATACTAAATTAATTTATTAAAAATTTAATAATATATAATAATAATTTTTATTTTAAATCTTTATAAATAAAAAATAATACAATATAAAATATTTTATATTATAAAGTATTATAATACTAAATTAATTTATTAAAAATTATATAAAGTTTATTTATTATTTAATATATTAATATTTAAAAATTATACAATATTACAAATTATTTAATATATTTTTAACTATAATATACTAGCTTTAACTTTAAAAAAGCCTATATTATTTTATTTATTTTATTAAATATAAAACAAAATATTTAAAACTAATGTATTAGTTTTGATCTAAAATATCCAAATTAGAGTATTAAATTTAAGATAAAAATATTTAATAATAAAAAAATACTTTAAATCTAATATACTAATTAAGTCTAGTTTTATTATTATACTATAAAATTTCAAATTATAAATATATAATTTTCTATTTCAATATTAATATTATTATTAAAAATAAATAAAAATAAAAAAATATTGTTTTTATAAAATATTTTAATAAATTTTTTATCATCTTTGATATCAATATTGTTATAAAAAAAATTTAAAGATATTAAAGTTTTATTTTTATAAAAAGTTTTTTTAATATTATTTATTTATAAAAATAATATTATTTTATTAAATATTTAGAAAAATTAATATTTTATTTTAACAAAACATTCTTATTAATGTTTTTTTATTTTTAAAAATAATATTATTATATGAAGGATTTAAAAAGATTAAAATATAAATATTATAAAATATATTTACTAATGAAATTCTGCTTCATATTTAAATTAATTATATAAAAAGTTAGAGTAGTATTTTTACAAAATGTTTTGATAAATTCTTAGACTCTAATAATAATACTATTTAATATAATGTCTAAAAATATTAAAAAGATATTTTTATAAATGTATTATATTAGATTTAGTCATATTATGTTTTTTATAAAAAATAGAAATATTAGTTAATGTATTTATTATAATTTTATTTTCTTCAAAGATACAAAAGTATTTGCAAAATTTAATCTATATTGAGTATTCTTATTTTAAGAAAATCTCAAGTTTAAAATCATTTTTGATCCTAAAATTCTTGATCCTGATCAAATAAATTACAAGATACAATTTTTAATATTAAGTAATAGAGAATTCAACTGATTATCAAAGACAATAGCAAATTAATTTTTGAATAACCTAACAATCAGATAATTTATTACATGATGCCTTGTAAACTTTGTTTGATTAGCTAATGTGAGTCGATTGCCTAAAGTGTATATCAAATGCTTCACAATATATTACGGAAATGCTATATCAGTTCTTGTTTGTACGTTACTTAAACTATTTGTTAACTACTATATTTGCTTTCGTTCCTGGTTTCTAACGCAACTGCGACGCGCATCTACCTTATTTTATAAAGATATCAAGAACGCAGTTTATGTAATTTGTAGATCATTATGTAAAAGAACCTGACTTTAACGGATCCCTATATTTAGAAATATGTGTGGTTATATGTAAAATTAGGTGCTAAACAATTTTACTTAAGATACTACATATGGTTATCTTAGTAAAATTTTAAGATATTAATGATTTTTTTATTTTTTTCTTATACCAGGCATTATACTCGCCGAGTACAAATAGTAATTATCAAAAAATTAATATGATTTGTATATACTGTATATTAAACCAATTATTTACTTATAAAGTTATCCTACAGTAACATAGCTCTACAATAATATTTTTTCTTATCATTACAAATCTCTGAACTACGATAAATATCTAGGTTTAATATTCCAAATGCGTTGGCCAAAGAAGTGATTCCTCTTCAAATTTCATGTATTTAAACATGTCACTCACTTTTTCTAAAAAATCAAGTATAAAATAAGTATTATTATTATAAGGCACGCAAAATTAATTTTTCGTTTTGCATAACCCGCCAACTCATTTTTCAATTTTTCAAATTTTTTCTTTTTTTTTAAAGTCAATTATTCGATTTTTCTATCAATTTTATCCAGTATCACCGATAGAGACCTTGGTATTCCGAACTTATCCGATAGACCGATAGAAAAAAATTTCAGCGCTAACCCAATTTTCTGATTTGATGCTATGCGAAAAGAAAAAATTAACTTTGTATGGTCTTAGATATGAACATGAGTCTATTAATTTACAATAGTTAAAAAAAAAAAAGATCAGACCGACCGACACAATTTTTCTGATTCCATGTTATGCAAAACGAACAATTTACTTCGCGTGGCATGAACAATAAATAAAATAAGAATAAAAATAAAAATACCTGTACTAAAAGTTTTTGGTTCTTGAAATATATCTGATATATGAGTAGATTTCAAAAAGTCAAAATTATTACCCAATTCAGGAATAAAAAACTCCTTTTTAAAAATTTTTTGTAAATTTTCTTTAGAAAAATTATAAAGTTCTGATGCGCTAGGTCTATTTGAAATATTAACATCCCAACATCTTTTCATCATTTTTTCATAGTCAGGATATAATTTAAAATCATTAGTAGGACGACGACCTTTACAAATTTCAAGTGCAACTTGGATTTCATTATCACACTTTAGATCCCCATATGGATTGCATTTAGTTATAAGTTGCCACATAATAATCCCTATGCTATATATATCAGCAGCTGACGTATAATTTCTTTCAAGTAAAACTTCAGGTGCTATGTATGGTAGCACACCAACAATTTCTGAGCTTTTATTGGCAGGTTCACTGAATCCAAAGTCACAAATTTTCCAAATACCATTGCTAAATAGAATATTTCCAGGATGAAGGTCTTTATGAATCATATCACGTTTATGTATTTCATAAAGCCCAAGAGAAATATCATTTAGTAAAGTAAATATTTCTCTCCAAGTATGGGCGATATCAGTGTTATTTATAAAAGATCTTAAATCACCATCATCTTGACGCTCCAATACCATCATGAATTTTCCACTTTCAGGATCTTTAGTTATGCCATAGCATGAAATAAGATTTTCGACTTCAATTGCAAGGGTGATATGGATTAAAGCCTGAAAATAAAATCAGTAAAAATGATGTCATATCTTTGAAATTTATTAGTGACAAAAATGATAATACATTATTTACCTCTTTAAAAAAGTTTTCCTGTTCATCATCATTAGAAGCTAATAAACTTTTTAATACAACCTTTTTTGGTTGACTGTCCCTCATAAACTTTTTATTATAATAATCCCAACTAAAAATAGTGTTACTCAAACTAGCGATAAAGATAGAACCAACTCCTCCTTCCGCTTTTTTTACGACATATTTAAAGTTTTCATAAGGAAACCATTCAATAATTTTGGTTGGATCAGATGAATACAAAATTTGGAAATATTTTATCATCGTATCAATAATTTTATCTCCAGAATTCCAATTATCAAAGTTATCTATTATGTGTTGTTGAATACAATTGGCACAAGAATATTTCGCAAACAATTCAGATTGACAGTGAATGCATAAAACATTTAGTTTATAATCATCATTTATTATTATTAATTGCTCTTTTTCTTGTGGGTAAAGTTGTTCATTTTCTTGTATGAATTTTTGAGCATTAAATTCATCATTCTCATAAATGGCTTTCATTTCACGAATTATATTATTAAAAAGGACTGAACGAATATTGACATCCATTATTTATAAAAATTGAGAACATTATCGTTAGTATATAGGATTTTTTTTTTTTTTTTATAAATCACCTGTTGTTACATAACTCATTCGTGTTACGAAATATTATTTTAAAGTAGTACCTGTTTATTAATTTTCCTTTTTTGAGTTTTTCTCCGTTGACCACAAAATAAAACTGGCGTATTTAAATTCATAAAATAAATGTAAATTGAAATACTTCATAATTTGTTAGAACTTTGACAAAATGGATCCGTTCCGAAATTGGTCAAAAGTAAGTATTAAACATTTCGTAAAAATTTAATCTGAAATTATATAATTAGACCTAAATTTCTTAATTAGACTTAGTCAATTTAGTTATTTTTTTAACTACTGAACTGTTAGACTTAGACAATTTTCGTTATTTTTTAACTACTGAACTGTTAAATTTATCATTTAATATCCCTTACATCAACATAGTTAGATCAGGTTGTAAGACAGTATAAGGGATATCAACTCAGCTAGGGTTGGATCAGTCCTGAAAAGACTAAGAAAATCCTTTTTAATCGGTCTCGCGTCTATTTGGTCCTCAGTTTTAAGACCGGTCTTCATAAAAATATTTAATTGACATTATTAAAAAAAGGATGTAATATAATCGACTACCAATGCCATATGAGTGCAGCCAAAGGAAAATGTCTCTGTAAATTACACAGTATATTACTGATTTTATTCAGCCCTTCTGATCAATGACGCATCGAGCTTTTAATTATGACTAAAAAATAATCACGATATATGTATGCACTGTACATACAAATTTTGAAATCCTGATGCGTCATTAATCATATCTCTATAAGATAAAAAGGTGGTTGTAGGTTTGAACCTTTTTGGGAACTGAGACCGATCTGAAAGGAATCAAGATGGACTTGACTGGATTGATCCATCCCCAAGACGAACCAAGCATAGCCACCCAAATAAGTTACATACGAAGTTTAAATATATATAATTTAATATGAATATTCATATACAATAATACTGAGTATAAAATTGTATTTTTACGGAATTGATTTGGGTGGTTATGCTTGAAGGATTCATCCCTAACCTAGCCTCCAAAAAATCTACGCTTTATGATTTATTCAATAACATCATTGTGTTTGAAATGGTAGAATAGATTTAATATAAACCTACATAATAATCATGAAGCTTCAAATTTCATTTTCGCTTAACATACATAAACTTAAAGTTATAGACCTCAAAAATCATTATAATCAAATATATTTCAATTCATTATGAGATCAATTTCTCAGAGCTGAAAAATTCATGAGTCAATTAATATCTTTTTCATGACTGAATTGAGATATAAATTATCGAATTATATGAGTTTAACACATTATTTATGCTTATTATTTATGCTTATTATTTTTTAGTTAAGTTGTTCCCAAGTTCCAATAACAGCTATGAAAACTTACTTAAAAAAAGGTTCTTTAGAATATTCAAAGACAAAAGATCTTGACTCATACGAAAAATGGTTTAAAATTTGTGACGATGCATTAAAAATAGAATCCAATAATGCAATGGCACTATACGATCGTGCTATGATTTACTTTTTGACGGATCGTATTGAGGATTCCCTTTTGGATGTGAATAAATCATTAGAAATTGATCCAAATAACATTGACGCACTAATCGTTCGTGGAAAAGCTTTATTTAAATTAAATCGACAAGAAGAAGCCCTTGCAGATATAAATAAAGTACTTGAAGTTGATACAAATAACAACGATGCGTTATTGGTTAGGGCTTATATAACTTTATCAAATCAACAAGGTTCAGAACATTTTACTAATAATGAGTCAGACGGTATAGATGCGTTAAAAGTTCATCAATATGATCAAGCTCTTGTAGATTTAAATAAAGTATTGGAAATTGATGTAAATAATATAGATGCCTTAATGGCTCGAATAGAAATTAATATTATTATAAGTAACTTTGATCAAGCCCTTTCAGATATTTGCAAATTATTAGAAAATGATCCAAACAACATTCAAGCACTCGTAAACCGTGGAAAAATCTATATGAGCCTTGAACTATTCGAAAAAGCAATTTCTGATCTTAATAAGGCTTTAGAAATTATTCCAAATAATAGAAATAATATGGAAATTTCACTTTTAATTATAGGCCTTTATATTAAAATGAAACGATTCGACCATGCCGTAGTCAATTTAAGCAAGTATTTAGATTTTGAACCAAACAATGTATTTTTTTTGGTCCTTCGAGGATTAATATATCCTAGTTTAAATCGTACTCAAGAATCGATTGAAGATTTTAATAAAGCTTTAGATCTTGACCCCAAAAATTCAGGAATATATTTGTCACGAGGAATTACTTATAGTCTTATGAATAAATTTAAAGAATCAATTTCTGATTTTGATGCTGCTCTAGAACTTGAGCCAAATAACGCTTTAATTTTGACATCACGCGGAAGGTCAAACCATGCGTTAGGAAACTATAAAGAAGCACTTGAAGATTTTAGTAAATCATTAGAAATCTTACCTGATGATATATTCACATTGAACTGTCGTGCGGGGACATTAAATATTCTAAACCGCTACAATGTGTCCAAAGATGATTTCATCCATGCTGCCAAGTTGGAAACGAAAGATATAAATCATCATAATATTAATAAACATGCTTCAAATTATTATGAGAGATCATTAATTAATTTTAACGAATCTTTAAAAATTAACCCTAATGATTGTTTAACTTTAATACATCGAGGAGACACTCATCGCATTTTGAATAATTATGAGGATGCAATCTCTGATTTAAATAAAGCATTATCAATCGAACCTAATGACAAACTCGGCTTAAGAATTCGAGCTGACGTATTTCGGCAAATAGGGAAATATCACGAATCACTTAAAGATTTAAATAACGCGTTAAAGATTGATCCTCACGATGCGGCAGTACTAAGACTTCGCGGTGATATTTATTATGCGCTAAATAATTATCATGAATCATTTGAAGATTTTATTAGATCTTTAGAAATACAACCGGACAACGAATTTGCATTAAAACAATGCATTGAATGTTGTCATAAATTAAATCAATATGAAAAATTACTTGTGATATTGAACAAGATATTGAGTGACATAAAAAAATACTCTATAACTTCGGATTTATATGAATATATTCAACGCATGTCGAAAAAAAATGTGGAATCACTTACAAATTTTATAAAAAGTACAAAAATCAATATTGTTAATTGGCCCATAATAAAAATACGAGGCGAGATTTATAATATTCTTGGTCGTCACGAAGAATCACTTGCAGATTTTAATGTAGTATTAGAACATAACCCAAATAATTCAGATGCGTTGTTCCAGCGTGGAAATGTTTATTACTTTATGAGTCGTTTTGACGAGTCTCTTATTGATTTAAATAAGGGTTTGGAAATGGATCCAAATAATGAATCTTCATTAAAGACTCGAGGACTTATTTATTTTAAGATGAAAAAATATGAAGATTCATTAATTGATTTTAATAAAGTTTTAGAAATAAATCCAGAAGGTGAATTCATTGTTATCAAATTTCGAGCTATGCTTAATTGGTTTTTAGGTGATAATGAAAAGGCATTGTCTGATTGCAATAAAGTATTAGAACTTGATCCAAATGATACAGAAACTCTAAAAATTAGAGCTAAAATTTATTATTTGATACAAAATTTTGAAAAATCTCTAGCAGATTATAGCAGATTATCAAATGATGAATTAGAAGATATCGATCTAAATATCCGTGGCCAAATTTATTATCTAATAGGTAGTTTTGATGAATCATGCTCTGATTTGAGTCAATCATTGGAAATAGATCCAACTCAGTATGATGCTTTAATAATTCGTGGAATAACATTTTATATGCGTGGTCATTATAATGAAGCTTTACATGATTTTAATGAAGCATTAAAACACAATCCAAATAATGCAAACTGTCATGGATATCGTGGGGCAACTTATTTGAAATGCATGAAATATGAAAAGAGTCAAAAGGACTTGGATAAAGCAATTGAATTGGATCCAAGCGAACCATATTTTCATTGGCAACGTGGATCACTTTTTTGCGCCAAAGATGAATATGAAAAAGCAATAGAAGAGTTTACAACATTGGATGAATTTAAACCAACGTATGTAGTCGAAAAATTTGAACAGGCCGAAGCTTTTTACAATCGTGGACTTTTGTATCAGAAACTGGGTAAAATTGAAAATGCCATAAAAGATTTTGAAAAATCCCTTAACATAAATCCTAATAATGATCAGGCCAAATCCATTTTGAATAAAATTTCAACCTAAATGTTAACAATGATTAACTGACACAAAATGACCTGCTTTATTCAAAGTATGCTGTTCATATGAACATATTATTACTAGTATTCTGATAAGATATGCAAATAACGCCAAGAAAGCTTGTAGAATTTATTTTTATTATGATATTTTTTTATTAAAAAAAAATTCATAATGTAAGAATCGCTTAATTTAATAAAGAATGATATGAAATTATGAGCGTTCTGTTCGCAACAAAATATTTATTTGTTAGAGCTGACGACTCGTGGATTCTGTATGTCACAGATCTTGTCTGTTATGCAAACGATTACGTACGTACGTACATACTGTATATAATTATTGTTATGCCCAATACTATATTATAATATCATGTGGTATTGGTGTTTTTTATATGGGCTGCCGTCAATAGAATTCAGGCAGATTGACATTTTAAAAAAAATCAATACCTTAACTTTCACAGCCCGTATCTCGATGAATTCAATACTCAAAAGAAAGCTTAGATCACAAAGACTCTTCTGAATATTAAATAACTAAACTAGCTTCAAAATTCATTGGGATATGAGCTGCGAAAGTTAAGGTATTGACTTTTTTTAAAATTTCAACCTGCCTGATTTCTATTGACGGCAGCCCATATCTTTGATATTTTAGGACTTTTTTCGTCGAATTTTTTTACCGGAAATATGAATTGTAATCATTGATCGTCAAATGACATAACGCTAATCAAGGATCGTATCGAAAGGAATTCAATACATAATCATTGATTAATTCTTGCAATTATACAAACATTAAATTTTCTACTTTAAATTCTGACGTTGATCAAGTTCTATAATAGCATTTAAATTTATGTACTGTCAAGGCTTAAAATTGGCATATTGCAAGAGTCATTTTTAGATTTTCAAAATATTTAATAAGTGTGCAAGTAAAATCTTTAAAAAAACTGCACAAAATATATAAAATATATATTTGTGCAAATGATTTTTAGGCCGCTTAAAGTAATAATTTCATTTAACGTTCCTTTCGAAGTTTAAGAGTAGTGAGGAACGTTAAACGAAATTGTAATTTCAAACGGTCTTATTTTGAATTTTAAAACACTGTATACCGTACCGTTCCAAAATTAAACACCCCAGAAATTAGGCACCATCAAATTTTGTATAAATAACATTAAAGTTATTCTCCAAACTGAGATGATTCAAACTGTGTTAAACCCATCAAAATGGGCCAGCAAAACTTCTTCAAGTTCGGATGGGTTACATATTGTCAGTCATTTAATCGATATCACGTGAAAATTCATCACCAAAATATAACTGCAACTAACGCTAATAAATTGCTAAATTATCATACTATGTAAATAACCATTGGGAAGTTAAGCAACATTGGCTCGGGCAATGTTTTAACAAATGTTGTGAAAGTTCTGCTGGACCGATTTTGCTGAATTTCTCATTGAATCATAAGTAGGCTTACTTAGTACGTAGAAAAATCGTATATTTTAATTTTTAAAATGATATCTGAAAATAAGCACCTTTACTAACAAAAAAAGGAGGTGCATAATTTCGGAACGGTGCAATATCTGGTACATACGGTTAACAACTAAGTGATGTCATTAGTTTACAATTAAATTTACATGTGTGCATTTAACAAAACATATTCAAATTTGCAAATATATACAATTAATCCATGTCGATTTTATAAAAAGTTTTCTTGATGGTATTAAGTTCTTGGAATCTGATTTGTGGGTCAGGAAATGTGTGCCATAAATCCCGGCATACATTCAAGATGTGCAAGAATTTTGTTTATACCACAAACCTGGCACACATCTCATATGCCTACAGTTATGTAATAGCAATACAGATTTAAAATATCACATCGTTTCTTATAGGTTACTCGGCATGCCATCTTAGAAAAATTTGCATGTCACCTGTTATCACCCGTTCGTTCATTATTATATTGCTTTTTTATTATACGTATAGATAGCATTTGTTCAAATGTATCTTTTTATAAAATATGATTGATCAATGTTTTGAAATGGTAACGTTGCAAATTCAAACTGTATGTAATATTTTTCAATATTGCTAACTTTATTTAAATTCTGGTCATGGTTTTCAAGAACTCAGATTACAATACTCTGAATTACGATTACAAAAATGAAGAATCATTTGGAAACGATCTCTGAAAATCGTGACCGGAGTCGTAATTTGGATCTTTGTAAAAAAACCGCTGATCACGTACCCAAGAGAAGCCCCAGAACTCAGAATGAATCAGCACACAATGCTATGCCTGGGTCCCACAAAAGAAGTAATGACTAACCTAAAAAAGGAAGAATCATTACGACGCGCAACAAGAAGCAGGTGAAACAACTCACCTTCACGAGTTCACGGCTGAGCCTTGGCATCACGAGACGTTCTTTTGGTTGTACAGCTGTAATATTATGAGCGGAATCTACAAAAAGAGAAGTTAATGAAAAGAAGAAAGCACAAGTCAAAGGAGTGTTCAAAAGAGACTGTGAAAATCGAAGTAAAAGAGAATGGGACCACAGTATACTTCTCTGAAATATTGGTATAAAAATTCTTCCTTTTACCTTTAAGTCAACTATCGATCCCTCGTCCCCTTCTACTCCTGTAATCAATAAATAAAATAAAATAAAAAATTTAAGAATATTTAATTCACATAAAAAACAACCTTCTCTGTTGCCGTACCTGTTTAACTGTGTGAGGTGTTCTTGTAAAGTGCATTTTCTCATGCTTTTCCATCATCAGATCCAAGTTTATTCTTTTTAAGGTTCAAAGAAATTAGTGAAGCATTCTTGAAAGTGCTTCTGCTAGTACTTTTCCATTTCCTAAACTAGATTCATTCTCTCCAAGATACAAAGAAGATGGTGAGGTGTTCTTGTAAAGTGCATCCCCTCTGCTTTTTCGCCATCTGATCCAAGTTCATTCTCTCTAAAATTCAAAGGAGTCAAGCTAGTGAATCATTCTTGCAAGCGCTTCTGTTAATGCTTTTATACCTTATGATCTAGATTATATATGTGACCGAAATTGTTTTGAAGTCTAAAACTGAAATTTACTTAAAAGAAAAAATTTTTTGATACTTTTTTTGAATAGACGAAATTATAAAGAACATAACTATATAAATTTTACTTGTTATCTCTTTTAAATTGTTCTAATGAAAACAAAATAGATCTTTTTCAAAATCAATTTCATTAGCATCATTCATTCTTTTCAAGATGCAGTAAGATGGTAAGGTATTCTTGCAAAGTGCATGCATTCATATTTTTCTACTGTCTATTCCAAGTTTATTTCTTCTAAGATTCAAAATCAGTGAAATGTTCTTGCAAAGTACTTATGCTAATTCTTTTTTACTTTCTGATCCAGCTTTTTCTTTAAGAACCAAAGAAGTTAGTGAAGTATTCTTACAAAGCATATCTGTTTATGCTTTTTCACTATCTGATTCAAGGTAATTCTAAGATTTCAAGAGTGTTCCTGCAAAGTTCTTCTGCTTTTTCACCTTTTAATCCGAATTTATTCTTTTCAAGTTCCAAAGGAGCTAGCAAGGTGTTCTTGTGAAATTATTCATTCAGGCTTTTTTACTATATGATCAAAGCTCAGTTTAAGACCCTAAGAAGTTGGTAAGATGTTCTTCCAAAGTGCTTCTACTAATGCTTTTTCAAGTTCCAATGAAGTTAGCTAGGTGTACTTACAAAGTGACTTCACTTATATTTTTCTATCGTCCACTTCAAGTTCATCTACAAGATATAAGAAACTTAGTGAGGTGTTCTTCAAAAGAGGTACGTACGTAGAAAATTTTGATCAGTGTGATCATTATAAAAAAAAACAATTTGATTCTGATGTTTCAACTGAAGATTTACAATGAGGCCCACGGTCCCCAAACACTCCCAGCCGGTTACGAACTCAGGCCATACAGTGCAGCCCCACTGATGGCTTATCACGCCTTAACCGTTAATCCACATCAGAATACTGTACTTTAAAATTGTACGTACTGAATCTGTGACAGGTTATGCCGATTACCAAACGAAAGAGCACAAAGACCAAAATTTAACGCAGGTTTAAAACTTTTATTTGAGTTATTTGCGATTTCTCTGTTTTCACAATGCTTTTCAATTTTTTTAAGTTACACGAGATCTTGTGACTTTATTGGCTATAATCAGCAATGATTGGCATAACCTGTCACAGATTCAGTACGTGCTGTAACCACCAAGTAGAAAACATGAAAAAAAAATTTAGAATTCAAAAAATTTATTTACATCATTCAATATTCTACTTTATGTTATAAAAAATTATATAATATTGAGTATAAAATATATAGGCTAATTTAATAACGTGTATAAAGTATCAAATTATGTATACCCCGCTTAAATCGGTTACTCTAGTTCAAAAGATTCAAACAATAAAAATTACAAATTTTACATTAAATAAATTACTCTCTTAATGCTAATGCTCGTAATTGATGTACTACTTTCAATGCAGTTGGATTATATGGATTAATTTCTAATAATCTACTAAAATCTTCAAAAGACTCATTATATAATTTAGATTTATAATATAGAGCACCACGATTTTCCAATGCGACAGTATTATTTGGATCAAGTTCTAAAGATTTATTTAAATCGGTAAGTGATTCATTACGATTACCCATTTTACGATGAGTTTTTCCACGAATACTTAATGTTGAAGCATTATTAGGATCAATTTCTAAAGATTTATTTAAATCAGCAATTGATTCATTGTATCTTCCTAGTTTGTAAAAAGTCTTTCCACGATTATTTAATGAAAAAATGTCATTTGAATCAAATTCTAATAATTTATTTAAATCTACGAGGGATTCATTATGTAAGAGTAATTTATTGTAAGTTGCAACACGAATTCTTAAAGTAAGAGGATTATTTGGATCGATTTCTAAAGATTTATTTAAATCTTCAAGTGATTCTTTATATCTTCCCAGTTCATAGTATGTCGCACCACGAGTTCGTAATGCAAATGCGTTATTTGGTTCAATATCTAATGATCTATTTAATTCTGTAAGTGATTCTTCATAATTTCTTGATTTATAATAAGCTTCACCACGGTTTCTTAATTCCTCTGCATTGTCTGGATTAATTACTGGTAAATTACTTAAATTCATATCGATATCACAGATTTGGCGCAAATATTGGTTACTAACTATGAATTATTAATATAGCATATATAAATATGATATAAATATGATATAAATATGATATAAATATGATATAAATATGATATAAATATGATATAAATATGGTATAAATATGATATAAATATGGTATAAATATGAATTTAAAAAAAAAGCATGACCGTAATTAATTTATATAATGATATGCAACAAACCTGATTCATTTGAACTTATTGAAATAATAGAAGATTCATTGATATCTAATAATTATTTATCATAAAACGGTTATAAAAATTTTGACATAAATTTTATTATATAAAATAACAAACCTATCAAATCTGCTTCTTTACCATCATTAAGGATATTCGGATCAACGTTAGGAGCTTCTATTTATTAAAATAATTTCAATTAAAAAGTTAAATTAATTAAATTAATTGTAAAAATTGCAAAACTACAAAATATATATACAGATATAACTAACTTAATGGATTTGACTCTTGAATAGTAGTAACATCGTCATTGTGATCAGTTTGATCCATTTGTACATCGTTTGACTCATCAACATTAGTATTATTTTGATTCACAACAGTCAATTCCTGAAATCTTTGTACTAAAAATATATTGTAACTGTCAATTAGTTATTAAATTTTATAAAATAATGGAATGTAAAATATGTGGCAATAAATTATAGCAAACCTATCGAATATATTTGTTCATAAGTACCATAAACGCGATGATCATGAACACCCAGGCCATCGTTTTCATTATTACCTGGTTCTGGAATCATTATAAATAATTTGTTTAAATGATTATTAGAAATAGTACAATTGACAAATTATTGTTCCAAATGTATAAATAGTAACTAACCTAATATCTGAGGATCTAAATCGCGATCAAATGTCCAAATAATTTTAAAACTTTAATTAAAATTTATCCACGACATGCAATTAAATCATAATAATCTTTAAGAACAAACTGAAAACTACCTGAAAGACTAAGAACATTATGATAGACTGGGGTTAAATTCATATCTTTTAGCCTATCACGGATTTCATTTGTGTTGGGACGTTTATTTGGATCATCATCCCAAGCATCACGATAAAGATTTATAAAGTCGAGAGGGGATCCATTAACTGGAGTCTCTCTTTCACCTTTAATTACTCTTAAACTTATATCTCTTTGATCAGAAATATCTTTGAATGGAGGAATACCACTTGACAATTCCCAAAAAAGCACACCGAGACTATAGATATCAGAAGATTTGCCTCTCTTATAATAGAATATATTTTGTAAATATTGTGGATCAGAGTAAGCGCACGTTCCACCAGGGATAGATTGGGAGCTAGTTTCAGCAATTTTAGATAAACCAAAGTCAGTAATTATCAATTTGTTGTCATGTACTAATATATTCCTATCATGCTAAGATTAAATTTATATGTTAACATGTTTGCAGATAAAAATAAATAATAGAAAATATCAATAAATAGAGGAGATTAACTAACAAGATCTCGATGAATAATATCAGCACTATGTAAACAATTGACACCACTTGCGATCTCTTTTGCCATTCTGATCTTTGTAGGCCAATCCAATTCGGAAAAATGAGTATGTAAATAAGATCTAAGATCACCATTGTTTGCGAATTGAAGAACCATATAGTATGTTTCACTTCTAGTGTCTTGATAGATTTATAAGTTAAAAATATTTAAATAAATTTTATCGCTACATGAAATAAATTACCATGAGTGATTCCAAAAAATCGGATTATATTATCATGATCAACTTTAGCAATGTTTCTAACCTTGAAGAGAAAATAACAATTACATTAAAGATATTACAAGAGAAAAATGATAATAATTAATATTAATTGTAATAATTATAAAGATGATTTATACTTCTCTAATAAAACTATCAAAAGAGTCTTCGTCTTCATTGGTAGGACCATGATACAAGCACTTTAATGCCACAACTTTATCAGCATCTTTAAGGTAAGCTTTAGATACAATGCCAAACCCTCCTTTAGCAATTGGCTTAAAAGCTTCAAAAGAATTATAATCAAATGATTTAATGAATTCTTTTTTAATAGCCTCAATGAACCAATCTTTTTTCGAAGACATTATTTAAAAGTCATGTAAGATATTCTTTTCGAAATGATTGTTTGAAGCGGTTTATTGCAAAGCGAATTTACAAAGATTTTATAAATTTTAAGAATAATTATTATAAATCATGACACGCAAAAACTAGTAATCAGTTAAAAAATCTTTATTATATTATTCGTGGCACAATAATGAACCAATAAACTAAGAAAAAACATCAAATTTCAATTAATTGCTGCATAAAATTAGAGACATTTAATTTATCTTGTGTGATATAAGTATGGAAACCATTATTATTATTAACAGTTAATTATCTGTAGTTTTTAAACATACGTACGTACATAATTACATTTTAGGAAATGAGAAAATTTATGAAATTTAAGAATTAATCGATCTAGTGCAACAGAGTGGTATCAGATTTGAAGTTAGGTTCGGAATCTGGAATTCCCCAAAAGACAAATCAATTTTATACTAAGTAAATTCCGAGTATAATAGTGGTTAGACTGTTAAAATCGGCCCAGTAAATCGCGAGATACGGGCATTTTTGTTTTTACGACTATATGGGATCTTTGTTAGCTAGTTTTTTTTCTAAAAATAGATTTATTATGATTTTCTTAATAAAAATCTCGTGTAACAATTCCTCATAGGGTCATTTTGCTACGTAGCAAAGATTCCATGTGTTTACTTCTTTGTGTAAACAAAGGAGTAAACATATTGTCACGAATGCAAAAACGTCCATAACTTATGATCCATTAGACCGATTTTAACAGTTTAACCATTATTTCGCTCGGAATTGTTTTCTCTACAATTTTTATTAGAAGTAGATGTGAGATTTAATTAGTAGAAAATCGATTTGTCTTTTAGGAAACTTCAGATTCAAAATAGACAAAATTTACATAGTAAACATATCCCCGAAGTTTACTATGTTTTTCACTGGTTCCCAAGCGAATCACAAATTGAATAAAAAAAAAGTATGCTAAGTTACAGATGATTAAAATTGTGTAAAGTAGCAGTAAAATGTCTATAATGATGTATAAACATTCGTTATTTTACCGAATATATTGTAATTTTAATTTACCAAACATTATGCAGATCTTAGGGTTAGTGATAGCAAGTTACGATTTTAGATAAATAACGTAACCACTTTCGCAGGCTTCTGTCGCGAGTTTCACCCTGTCGTGAAAAAAGTCTATTATTGTAAAGTCGCTGACTCATTTCTATATGTATACAACGAGCTTTAAGGTTTATCATGCTGTTATGTAACATGCATCAGAATTTTATTGGTTGTTGTGACAATCATTTAAAATTCTTTATAAGGTGTTTGTTTTTATACGCGCACTTAATAATAATAAACATTTAAATATTGATAAACATTTGTTTGTAGATACATTTCCATTTACATTTCCAAATACGGAAAATTTTCAAAGCTAAGGAATAAATTTAAGGTAAATTTCGGATTATACAAAATTATAATACGATAAGTAAAAAATTTCATGCTCACGTGATTAAAAAAACCTTCATAACACATTTATGTTATGGTTAACTTTAAATTAGTTTAATAAATTAGCAAATCAAAATACATAAATAATATAGTAAAAAATTCCGAATCAATTTAAATTCCGACATTCAGAATTGGCCAATAATGAATCACACGCCTGCTTGTTTAGAATCGCTTACTTTCCAAAAAAAATTGTATAAGAAACAATTTTTCATGCACTTACGGAATATAGTTATTCTATTCCAATTTAAGTAGGTTCTTAACCCTGTCTGACCTGAAGAAATTATGATGCAGAATGTTTATTTTATTCAGGTTCGATTTTAAAGAAATGATTTATTCGGCCTTTGTAATCCAATTCGAACAAGATCTTCAATTATGCAAAAATATTGTATTGACTCTTCATTGTAAAAAGAAAATGTTTCAAACAAGGACAAAATTAATTTGAAACATATTTATGTAAAGTTCAATAAATTAAAAAATTATTCCGTTTATTTTCGTGATGAACCAATCAATTTAAAATTAGTTTTAGGTTTTTACTTTAATGGGAAACCTCTGATTATGTTTTATTAACACAACATTTCTCAAATTGTTTTCCAATTTTCATATGCATCACGCTCTAAAAAAAATTCGCTAGAAAAGGGAAACGCATGGTTTTTTATTTATATCGAATGAATAATCGAATGAATAATATGAATTATAAATGTTGATCTCATGAGTTATATAAAAACTCAAAGAAAAAAAACTCAAAGTTAATCATAAAACCTGTAAAAGAAAAATATGAATTCAAAAGATTTTCGAAACGAACGACTTGAAGCTGCAATTCGCGAAGAGAACATTACTACAATTGATTTTAGTGAATTTTCATATATAGAAACTATAAGTGAAGGAAGTTTTGGTTTTGTAGTAAAATCAAAATGGAAGGATTCGACGATTGTTCTCAAAAGTCTAAAAGTGAATGAAATACTTAATGCAAATGCTACACGGATGTTTCTTAGAGAGGTAGTTTTTCTTTTCCACAACTAGTGATGTGCCGCATATAGTACTTCACATCTATACGTATGCCTATACGTATACGTATGTGTGTATAGTACGTACTTTGCATCAAAATTTTTACAAATGAACATTTCTGAAAACAATGAAAGAGGAAAGTTCAGATCTTTATTTATTATACTTATTACAGATTGTATTTACCTGTTTACTGTTTGCACTATGCTACTGTATTTACCGATATTTACTTATTTACTATATGTAAGCAAAAAAAAAATAGCAAGTATCTTATGAATGGCACATCACTAATCTCAACCTTATAATGATTTTTTTATGTTAAAATTCATGATTTTTTTTTGTAGCTTAAAGTTTTACGAGATGTTAATCCTCATTCTAACATAATAAAATTTCACGGAATTACTCGCGGTTAGTATTCAGTTTGCGTTTAAGCCAATGTTATTTTTCAAAAAACGTATATGTAATCATCATGAGATCATATTCATGTAATAATATTCATGTGATTCTTTTCATGTGATAATATTAATGTGATTCTTTTCATGTGATAATATTAATGTGATAATTATGTGATCATAATCATGTGATCATAATCATGTGATCATAATCATGTGATAAAGTTAACATTCATACAACTTAATTCTAAATTTATTTAAATTATTACAGATCCTTCTGATGGGCGTTATAAAATAATTTTACAATATGCGAATAACGGAAATTTACGAGGTTATTTAAAAGAAACCTTTTCAAAGCTTGATTGGACCGATAAATTGAGAATTGCTAGTGAAATATCAAGTGGTCTTGCTTTCCTACACTCAACAAAAATCGTCCATCGTGATCTCGTATGTATCTTATTTTTAAAATATATAATTGATATTTATGAGTTTAATCGTATAATAACTTTTGATTTATGTAAATATATTAGCACTCTAAAAACATTTTGGTCCATAAAGGAAAAATGTTAATTACTGATTTTGGTCTATCAAAGAGATTAAATGAAAATTCAACTCTAACAAGCTCAAATTTCATTTGCGGAATGGCTGCTTATATTGACCCTCAATGCTTCAAAACTGAATCTTATAGGCTTGATATGAGATCTGATATTTATAGTTTAGGTATCATTTTATGGGAAGTCTCTAGTGGAAGAATTCCTTACGAAAAAAAGGGCCTATCAACCGTCGAAGCTCTTTTTTATTACGTATCTAAAGGAAACAGAGAAACTCCTGTAAAGGATACACCGACTCCTTATATTCAACTTTATGAAAAATGTTGGGATGAGGATCCAAATAAACGACCAGAAGCAAAATATGTCCTTAATACTTTAATAGAACTTAGCCTAAGTTTTCCAAAAGCAAAAAAATCTGTCGTCAGAACTTTAACTCTACTTTTTCAGAATTTACGAAATACTCAACAAAATGGTCATGTTAATGTACCAGATTCTCCAACACGACGTGAACGTCCAGTCAGCATAAGTGGAGGTTCTATACTTTCTACATCTCCAATCTCTTCTACATTTGATAATTATGATGATGATGATGGTGCTGATTTAACTTTTCAAGATGCTGTTGAAAATGTTTCAAGTTCTTCCGTTCCCAGCAACAACAATAATAATAATCAACTCATTCCGTTATCACCAATTTCATCAAAGTCTTCAAATCCTCGTAAATTAGACAATGATGATCAGATCAAAATTAATAGGAATAGTATACAACTTATGAATATTAATTTATCTCATCTAAGTCAATGCTTAGATGATAGCTTGGCTACTTTAAATACCTTTGAATCAAGTGGTTTAGGTATGATCCAAGAGTTAATACTTTTGAATTTGTTTAATATTAAATTTGATTAAATTTTAAATGAATTCTTACTATTTTTATGTATAATTTTTATTAGATTATACTTATAATACATCTGATCGTGTAAGTCAATTTTATCTATTGAATGTAATCTTTTTTAAGATATTCTAAAATTCAAATAATAATAATATTATTATTATTATAAATAATTATATTAGGAAAATGTAAATATACTGCAAAAGATGCCATTATATTTGCACGACGTGCAATAGTTCATATGTTGATGTGTAGATATGATGAAGCATTCAAAGATATCAATAAATCATTATCCATTAACCCTAATGATCCAATATCATTATGTCTTTGTGGAAGATTATGTCAATATTTGGGTAGATATGAAGAATCTCTAAATTATATAAATAGAGCATTGGAAATTGATCCAAAGAATGCAACTGTATTAGAATGTCGTGGTTCTTCTTATCGTGGTATGGATAAATATGATGAATCTCTAGCTGATATAAATAAATCATTAGAAATTAGACCAAATGATGCAATTACTTTAAGAAGTCGTGCATTAACTTATAGAGCATTGAAAAGACATAATGATGCTCTTTTTGATCTTAACAAATCTTTGAAAATTAAACCAAATGATGCTATCACTCTTGATGCTCGTGCTTTAACTTATCGTTCCTTAAATAAATACGATGAGGCCCTTGTCGATATAAATAAAGCTCTAGAATTAAAACCAAATGATGCAATAATATTAAATAATCGTGGATTATTATATTATGATTTACAAAAATTCGATAAAGCAATTTCTGATTATAATCAATCATTAGAACTCGATTCTCAAAATTCTACCACATTAAGTAACCGTGGATTAGCTTATAGAAGTTTGAAAAGATATAAAGATGCACTTGATGATATTAATAAAGCAATAGAACTTGATTCTGACTCTGCTGTTACATTTTGTAATCGTGGTTTACTTTTTTGTGATATGCGTAGATATTCTGATGCTCTTGCGGATTTCAATAAATCATTGGAAATTAAACCAAATAGAATGATCACACTTGAATCTCGTGGTTTGGTTTATCGTATTTTAGGTAGATATAATGATTCTTTGGCTGATTTAAAAAGAGCATTAGAATTAAAACCAAATGATGCTGCTTTATTATGTAAACTCGGTCAATTATATTCTGATATTGGAAGTCATGAAAATGCTTTTTCTTATTTTAAGAAAGCATTAGAAAATGATTCAAATAATGTGGTTATATTAGAATCTTTTGGATTGGCCTATCGTAAATTACATAGATATGAAGAAGCTCTTATTTATCTAAATAAAACAATAGAACTTAAACCTAATGATGCTGTTTCTTATAGTAATCGTGGATTATTATTCTCTGATATGGGTAAATATAATGAATCGATTGCTGATTTCAAAAAATCCTTAGAATTGGAACCAGATGATCCAACCACTTTAAGTAATCGTGCATTAACCTATCGAAGCATGAGAAGATTTGAAGATGCACTTGTTGATATTGATAAATCATTAAAAATCAGACCAAATGCCGCTGTTACAATAAGCAATCGTGGTCTAGTTTTATATGATATGAATAGGTATGAAGAAGCTATTTTAGATTTTAATAAATCCTTAGAAATAAATGAAAATGATACTATTACTTTAGAATCTCGTGCATTAGCATATCGTACTCTGGGTAGATTTGATGATGCACTCTCTGATTTGAATAAGGCATTAAAAATTAAGCCAAATAATTCAATACTATTAAGTAAACGTGGTTTATTATATTCTGATATGGGAAGGCATGCTGAATCACTTATTGACTTAAAAAAGTCATTGGAAATTGATCCAGATAATGTTACTGCACTTGAAGCTCGTGGATTAGCTTATCGTACTTTAAATAAATATGAAGAAGCTCTTACAGATTTAAATTTGGTAATTGAACTTATGCCAAATGATGCCGTATCATATAATAATCGTGGATTATTATATTTCAATATGGGAAGATATGAAGATTCGATTTTAGATTATAATAAATCTTTAGAAATAGAACCAAACAATCCCAATACTTTGAGTAATCGTGGATTAACTTTCCGTAGTTTAAATAAACTTGATGAGGCTCTCGCAGATTATAATAAATCTTTAGAAATGAGGCCAAATGTAGCTGTCACATGGAACAATCGTGGTTTGGTCTATTTTTCAATGTATAAATATGAAGAAGCTCTTTCTGATATTAACAGATCTTTAGAACTTGAACCAAATAATATTGTATCATTGGAAACTCGAGGGACAATTTATATGATGCTGTATAAATATGATGAGGCTATGAAAGATTATAACAAAATAATAGAACTAGGTGGTAATGCTCCATTGTTACAATAAATCTTCACTTTATGTAAATTCCGAAATTCATTTTTAAATTCATATTCTCTTTTTTTTTTTATCATTAATGATTTTGAAATTTTTATATACTAGAAATAATTTTCATAATGATATATTTTTGATTTTAGTTTTCTCAAGTATATTTATTATTTATCTACACTGTATATAGATTATTCGATAATATATATATTAAGTTATTGCAAGGTCATTTGAAAATTTATTATAAAATATGTTTTTTATAAATAATAAATTTTATTGATCATATATTTGTTACAATTAGCAAACAATTGCAAAATAAATAGAATTTCTTTTAAAAATAACGAGCTTTATTTTAATTGGCTAATTTTGGTAGATTATCTCATAATATTGCAATATTTTATATATATTATTGTAACAATTAAATATTTATTACTGTGTTAATAAATTTATTAATATAGGATCTAACAACTCAAAACCGAAGATTATTATCCAATAAAACAGAATTATATAATACATGATCTTATTATATTTTGAAATTTGCAGAATAATCGACGATCATATACCAGGAACAGAGTATGAAATACGGAGTGTATGGTTTTATGGCAAGTTGGAGTTCGCAATTCTAGGCATTTGATTGGATGCTTATACCTAAATTTACCATACTGTAATATTCTCGTTGTGGCTTTTATATATATTATATGTGCATCAGGTTTTAGTCGTGATTTTTTGGAATTGTGTATTGTGCCTCGTAGTATTTTTTTTCTATATCAGGAACAGAGTTTGTACAACGTACAACATAGTGTATAATTTATAGGTGATTCAGATGTGGATGTGCGAAATCATTGAATGATTGATTCTTGTGACTTTGTTCTGAACAATTTAGGTTGATTCCTAGGTCATTCTGGAATTTTGAAACGACCTAGGTCATTTCTCAATCGGTGAAATTTTTAAAAATTTAAAATTGTATGCCCAGCAACAAATATATAACCCAAGCAATAATATTAATTATATCATTAAAGTTCTTTTGCGTGAATAAAGCAAACTTTTGCATAAAGATAATTAAAAACTTATTAAATAAAATTAGAAAAATGGTTTAATGCTCCAAATAAAATAAAAAAATTCGTATAAATAAAAAATGCGCAATGCAAATAAATAAAAAACAAAAACACAATAAAAAAAATACACATTACAGGACAAATTTGCGGCCTCAGGTCGTTTAATTGTATAAAGTTCTTCAGTTCAACAATGTAAATAATTTTAAAATTATATTATCCAATATTTAAATTTTGTATTATATAAGTCATTACAGTTAAACATTGATTATATTATTTTGATATTAAATAGTGATTGTTTTTCCTTTGATAAATAAAAGCTTTTAATATTCAATCAAAGGTTTCACACGTTATAAGTTGTAACTTTCCATTTTAAAAATTAATAAGAAAAAAAATTGTATTTATCAATAAAGTTAAACATTAGAAAGGTTTATTTATTTATTAATTTTATTTTTTGCATTAATTAATTTGACATATGTAATAATTCTGGGTTCTAAATTTTTATTAAATTTTGGGATCAAGTGATGACCTTTTCCTGAGTATGAGGTGTGACAAATAAGCACTGACTAATTTATTTATACAAATAAATTAGTTGGTGCTTATTTATCAACAGATGATTGGTCACACTCTGATCCTTTAAATTTCATAGCGATAGTGTTTTATTAAAAATTGACCTGAGCCATTTTTGAATCAGTGAAATTTAAGAATAACCTAGGTCAATTCGGAATTGGCCTAAATTGTGTGAAATGACTCAGAACAGTAACACATTATTATATAATAATAACGATAATCAAATACTTTTTCAGTCATACATATATACATACATGCTATTTTTTGACAAAAATATCGCTTCTATCAATATTAAGTTCTGGATTTTCCAATACAGTTTCTATTATATCAATATTATTGGTAGTATACGATACGTATTACACTTTTACTACAACATCTGAATCCATTACCAGGTCCCATATAGGGGTGGGTCCAGTCAGTCATGGTCAGTTATCAGTCAGTCATTGACTCATAACTAGAGATGGGAAACTGTGCAGGCGGAATTTTTTAGAAACCTGAGATTTTTCATAATGTCACAGAATTTAACAATTTTGGCCTGCATTATCTGTAATGCAGGCCCATGCAGCTGTGTAGCCTGCGCAGTAGATTCGAAAAATCTTCAATTTTCCCATCTCTACTCATAACCTACTGACTGCATTTAGGTCATATAACCTGTCAAATGACCAGTCCAATAACTGTTCAGTTATTAGTTAGGTTTGCAACAAAACTTTTCTATCCATCCAAGTTGTAATTAGATCTATGTGTATATTTACAGCTGTTCTTATAAATTCTAGAACAACTAATAAAATTTTGATCTGCCGAATTCGATAAGTTTTTGAATTCAGTGTTATCGAATTACTGTAATGCCAAAAATTCAATTACGATAACACTGAATTCAAAAACTTATCAAATTTGGCAGATCAAAATTTTATTAGTTGTCCCAGAATTTATAAGAACAGCTGTAATCAGAATTAGTATCAGTATACCAGGAACAGTGTATTAAATACATAGGGTATAGTTTACTTAAGAGTAAAATGATGTGTGTGTGATTCTTAGCATATGATTGGGTTATTCTTCATCATAACCTTGTGTAGCATCCTGAACAATACTTTAAAAGGTAGATATCAGGAAGGAATGTCTCTGTACGCAAAGTCTTGAAATTGATTGATCCGTGTGACTTATTCATGGTTCAGTAAAAAGAAAAACCAATAAAAGAGCACATACATCCGTAAAATCAAAGATGCAATAACAAACAAATTTTGACCGCATTATACATAATTTTGGCAGGAGTTTGATTTTTTAATTGTTTAAGGTTTGGCTCTGTGTAATGGTAAAATTAACCCAGGAACATATTTTACTTAGGGTTGAAAATTACAATACATGTAATTTCACATAAGTTTTAGTAACATGGATTTCATGTAATTTCATGAGATATATAGTACCTAGAGATGGAAAATCGCGGTTTCTCCAAAAATCCCGCATGGGATTCATTAAACCACAAAATTTTAAAACCTAATTTCACTTAATGAGCGGCCACGATTTCTTTACTAAAACTTCGAGTAATTTTGCCTAAATTTTTGATCGTTGCCGTTGGTCAATCAAAATAGTGAATTTCCACGTATTTATTGCAAGGTTTAATGGCAGTAATTACATTAAGCACGTCCTTGGTTAAAGGTTTCATCTGATCCAATTTTTGTATGATTCCAAAT